TTTTTTTTTTTTTTTTTTTTTGATATATCAAGTAATTCCAATATTTTTCGATCTGTAAATAATGTTTTATTGGATTTGTAGTATTTCGATATGAAAAATGGCTTATGGCCCTAGTTTGTCTAGTTAGAATCTTTCCACATGACTAAAAAAGTTGGGAGTTTTGCTAATCTTACCAATGAAATTCCAAACTCTTCTCTAGGAGGCTAATAAATTGTAAAGATATTAGTATCAGGTCTGCTTATGTCGCAGTGTTATTTGCACAAACAATATACCATGTACAAAATTCTTAGCAGAGTATATATATATATATATTTTTATTTTGTAAGAATTAGCATATTTCAGTAATTTAGTTAAATAATTTAAATGTCACAGAATGATGGATGTATCTTGTATCTTCTCTCTAGACCACCTTCTTATCTTTCTTAAGATAGAAACGGTGAGTTCTCTCATTAGTTGGGGAGGAGAACGAAACATTCTTTATAGGGGTGTGAAAACCTCTCTTTAGTAGATGTGTTTTAAAAACATTCTGAAAGAAAAGCTCATAAAGAACAATAACTGCTAGCAGTGGATTTGGTCGTTACAGAAACGGTGACTTTACTAAATCTTAGGATTAGAAGCCATCTTATTACCATGGAAAATGTAGCTTTACTTAAATCTTAGGATTAGAAGGCATCTTATCATCTGGAAAATGGAAAAGTTGAAGGGAATCTGGAAAAGAAGCTCAAGAACATCAGTCTTCCACGATCTTTGCCTTGTACATTAGGAACATCCAAAGTTTAGGGAGAGTTTCATACATAAGTTTGGCTTCCAGGTCTTCCCATCTAGTCCTAATTACGTGAGTATGTATATGTTTATATAAAAATATGTCTTTTTGTGTGAGTGTGTGTTCATAAAGTGTAGTTTGTTATTGGAAAAGTAGTAATTTGTGTTGAGCATGACTGTTTTATCCCTAAAGGGTAACGGAAATGGGAGAGTACTTTTTTTGGCTTCTAATATTTTGATAACATCGAAAACTTCAAGACCTTTAATGTTGAATACTCTTTTGTTTCCTGAATTATACTTTATATGATTATTTTGGAATTTTAAAACATTTCAGCTACCTATCCTAGCTTTGATGGTTGTATTTCTTTAGTTCTTAGACTTCGGAAAAATTCAACTATAGAGGTTTGAATTTAGATTTTATATAATCTGTAATGATAACATTATTAATTAAATAATGATATGACATTGATTGATTGAATGTGTTTTAGTTGCTTCTAAAAGAATCTAGGTTGTAGATGCCTTTATTATTCAACATGCTGACTATATTGTGGTAGGATTTATGCTATAATTTTATTAAGTCAATATCCAATGATTATGGTAAACTTTTTATTATTTTTAAATTCTTATTTGAAAGGATTATCAGACAACTTTTATTTTAAAAAATCTTAGTTGCTATAAAGTTTAGATTGAATCAATGATAAAAGTTATGGAAATTCAAGAGTAATCAATTAGGGAAGGAATTTAGAGAGACATACGACTAATTGCATTAATTAAGGATCCAAATATGAGTTGAAAATCCAAACAAAACTTTTTTTATTAACTTTTTGTTGCTTAATTAATTGATTCGAGTTGAGATTTTGATGGGATCTAGCATATGCATTTGATTTATTTATTTTTGTGTAACGTTCTGATTTTTTAGACTTAGATTGATTAGGTTTATTATTAAATCAATCTTGATATATTTGTAAATCCATCACATATATATATATATAGAAATATTTTTTTGAAAAAGTTAAAATAATTATATTAGGGATCCCGACGAAAGCAAAATTTTGTAACTTTAAAAATGCAAAAGTGTAAAAGTAAATATAAAACTTAGATTAAATTTGACTCTTTTGACAGATTCAGTGAACAATCTCACTCTCACTCACTCAGGTTAGAATTCCACCTAATCACTTACGAGAAGAGAAATTATTTTATTATTGGATTATAAGCAAATAGTTTATTAGAGAAGGATTGATACTTAAGGTGAAATGTGTAGTTATAAGGTTAAATTTAAAAAAGTAAAAGTGTAAAAGTGAATATAGAAATTAGGTTAAATTTGACTCTTTTGACTGATTCAGTGAATAATTATATTAGGGAAAATACGAGATATATTCATATTACATGTCCTTATTTGAATACTAAGTGAAATTCCACTTTTATCACTTAGAGAATCAATGATACTTTAGGGTGAAAGATGTAATTATAAGGGTAAAATGGATTTTTATAAAGAATAAATTAATTTAATATATTTAATAGATCCGTATATTTTATAAAGAAAAATTTTAGTTTTTGTACCAATTTTAATTCTAATTTTTTTTATTCATTAGATTCATTTCAAATTAAATGAAAAAAAATATATATTATTATTAGAAGAAAAAATTATATAATTAAAAAAAAAAATTAAAATTGATAGCTTTAGATGTTTAGTATACATATGAATATGATAGGGATGTGATTAATGTTGATAATATGAAATTATTTAGCTGTATATATTTATTTGGTAATTTATTCTTTTTATTTAAAAAAACAAAAGGTTCACACGTGTCTGTTGACTCTTATTTAGGTAACCTCGCACAAAAAATAAAATAAAATAATTAAAAAAATAATTTAATTTTTGTTGTTTTTTACTTAAAAAAAGTTGTTTATATCTTTATCTTTCCAAGTAAGCAAACATTTGAAAAAATAAAATTCAAAAACAAAATCATATTCTTTAAAAAAAAAAATAAACCTTGGTTTAAATTTAAAAAATATTAGTAATGTTTATAAATTAATTTTAAAATTCTAATTCCCTATAAGAAATTCAATTCTTTATCCGTAAAGATTTTCAATTAACTCGGAAATAAAAGACATTAATTATTTTTCTAAACTATATGAATTATAGTTTTTATTACCAATTACTATCAAGTTGATCGATGACAGTTAGGTTAAACAACAATGACAAGCTTCATAAAGAGATACATGAATGTGAGAGGAGGAAGGATTAAGAATTTACCGAATATGAGATATCACAATGTTCGAAAAATCTTAGAGGAGAGAGAACTCACCGAGGTGCTCGTGACAGAGCAATTGGTGACATGTGTAAAGAAGACAAACGTGATAAGAGACTAAATGAAGCTACACGAACTAGACGACAACTTTGAAATAGATTGGATACGGATAGTAACTGCCATTGTGATCGGCCAATAGCACAATACGGAGAGAGAGAGAGAGAGCTTGAGGGAGTCAGAAGTAACGACAAACCGGACGAGGTTATGACTCTCGAGATTCAAATATTTATATTATTGTTTTAACCTAACCGTAGTTGACTTGACTTAGTCAACCCTTTAATTCACCTGTTATGATTCAATTTTTCTACAACCTTAATTTGACGAGTCCTATGAATCTAATCAACATAAACCAACCTAAATTAAATGAAACAAAATCCGACAAGTAAGGAAAAAAATATAAATTATTCCAACCTAAAATTTGTTCGTTACATGTATCGATGCAAAATAAATAAATATATATAATATTAATTCGAGCTAGTAGTGCAATCACATTCCTACAACACGATATCCGATAGGATCTAATAGACATTGTTGGTACACATTTTTATGTGTATATGTGATATTGATATTATAAATTTCGAAACAATACAACATTTTCTATAGTTTAATTATTTTAATTAAAGGGTTTTAATTAATTATTATAATTTCACGAAAAAGTTGGGAGTGTCACATGCCACACAACCTCTTTTTGTTCTAAAATATTTACAATGTTTGAATTTTAATATAATATATTTCTAATTTGATCCGTTTAACTTTATCCATTTGTAGTTCATTCGATGTACTCGGGTTGAGGTGGGTTGAATTTTATTTTTTCGACCAACTTGAAATTTCGAGTTCATTAGATTGATGACCTGAACAACCCCAAAATAGTTCACACCGTGACCTAACTCAACCCTCTAATCGATCGAATAAAAGAATAGGGATAGTCGGTAACCCTATTTTCATATTGGTCAGGTTAACACGACTAAAAAAGATATTAACTCACAAACATTCAACACAACCCAAATCGAAGAAAAAAAAATCTAAAATAGGTCAGATTGAATGGTCTAGGTTGGTCGAGTTATCGAGTCATATGAACACTCCTAATAACTCCATGTTTAGTGGAAGATTGAATTATCGACATTTGAAATAAAAATCAGTGACTTAGTTAGCTATTTAAGATTAGATCGGTCTAATGCAAGTTTAAACATATTTTACTTTTATAGAGTTCGGGTTTAGGCCGAGTTTGAACCATAAGACCGAACCAAGAAATTTAAATATTTTGAAAAAGAAAATTGTTCACAAATATAAAAATAAAATAATAATAATGGTCAATACGAGGATTGCGCCACTAAAACAATAAATAAATTATTAAAAAAGAATAAATAAATAAATAAAAAAACAAAACAATTAGGGTTTTTAAGGAATATGAGCAAGATACAGCTAAGCAAAGTTGTGACCTGTCGCATGTGAAAAAAAAA